TTTTTAATTTGTTCAGTTTTTTTTAATAAGAAAATTGTGTTTTGAATCACTATATTGTTCACTTATATTGATTAAAATAATTAGCGAAATTCTGAATTAGCGAACAATTTGATCTATTTTGTTTTAAAGTATTTAAATTACTCAGAGACCATTTGAATTTCCCACTTGGATACAAAAATGAAATTATATTTTCAACTTTAATTTTCATCAAACTACGAATAAAGTGATTTTAAATTTTCTTGCACATAAATTTTCTTCTTCAAATACGTGGTTAAGCTAGGACGAAGTATTAAGACAGCCACAAAGGGTTAGTCATAGATGCTATGCCTGTCCTAAAAAAGTCACGTAGGGCAAGGTCTTCCTTGGGACCCTTAGGTGTCTTGAGCACGGCTCTAGTGATCGGCCCAGATACTCTGCCCAAGAAGCTTTGTCGCTATCCCTAGTGTCTCTACTACTTGGTCGTTTTCTCTCTCAGCTCGTGCGCGTTGTGGTTAGTACTGGTGCACGGGAGAGTCACTGGCGAAGGATATGTTTCTTTGTGCATCAGCGCCTTTTACAGCTGACTTGCAGATGATTCACCACCGTAATGTGCGCTATTTATCTGCTCACTATCAATTATACATATTTGCCGATAATCCTTACGCATATCTTATCTGGCTTCCTGCGCGTAATTGAGAGCATACATTATATGCCTCGCGCCGACTTTTTAAATTTTAACTTGGCAAATTTAACGAATTATTAATTATTTTAAGAAAAGTAAAACAAAGAAAAGGGTATAAACAGGAATAAATAGTGTACATTATGAATTTCTAGGTGATAATGAATGGCCCCTTATAGTATAAAAGAATTCATGTTTTTATTTTTATAAGTGTATATTAACATTATAAAAGAAAAATGGAAAAAAATAAAGTATTTGAAATTTTAGTTCTATTTGATAGTATAAAGATGTTACAATTGTTAAGAATTTATGATTTAATTAGGGAGTAATACAATATGAGTTATTAGATTTCGTACCTCAACGCATTATAAGATTTATCTTTTTTCCGATTTTTACAGTTCACGAATAAAAATTTATCGCTGTATTGGTTGGATTGTTGCGTTCTCTCACTAGCTTGAAGTTTCGCCTCTAAAGTACCAAACTACGAGCTGTGACATTCTCTGTCTTGACACAGTATAGTTTACCTAGCACCGGACTGTAGTATTATCATTTGCCACTCGAGCGCTCCGGCTATCTTTCCTCGTACATGCTGTTATTTACGGAAGCGCCTATCCACTATACGCGTGCGCATTGCATGCATACAAGTAAAGTTGATGAGTACGACGCGGTCACATACAACACATAAAGTATTTGTCAAAAAAAAATCTTTAATAAAGAGAAATACTTTTATTACCAGTGCTAAAACATTATTATTTAGTAAAATTAAAAAATTTTTCTAGTGATAGTAAAGATATTATTACCAAAAATAAATTTTTTATCTAAAATTTGAGGTTATATTACTTATCTCTCTTATCGGTTCCGTATGGTCGCAGATAAATAACTCACGCAATTTCTTACAGCTAAAAACTTCGAGAGCCATTATTTACATGTATGATTTTCTTACTTATGGCCATGTATTCATGCTCTGGCCATATATAGGCATAAGTATTTAAGCTGTTTAGGCCTTCCTGCTTTATCAATAGGGGTAAAATTCTATATAAATCGGCGTAGTCTTTATTTAACAGTGGTATGCTTATGTGGTATATTAACTGATTGTTCTGTATCGAAATTGTTAATCTAGATATGTCTATTATCTCGAGCGGACTTATCTGAGATCCCGCTCCCGGAAAAATTAGCTCAGATCTGGATAGCTTTACCTGTATTTTGGAGTTATCAAAAATCGCATTCGATATGAGCCTCGAATATACTAGTCCTCTTGCTGCGCAGAGGACTGCATTTATTATGGAGTCACAGTCTGCCATGTACTGCTTCACGCTTCCATCCTGTGTATTTATAGCTGCAATTATTGAACTATCAATTTTCCGTAAGTCATTCATGTTTTTCATTCTCTTTATATTTGCTTCTATTTTTTACACCCTGTCCTCTACATCGCTTACTCTATTAGACATTAATTCTGTCTGTTTAGCCAGAAGTTTTGCTATATTATGTGTACTGTTTTTTATTAAGTCGAGCGCATCTGTTAATGCTTCATAATAATGTTTCATAAACAATTATTATCGTCACTGTCCAACGTTCCGAGTAGAAATTTTAGAATAGTTCCCCCAGTGCATCATTGCTCTTTTACGGCGGTTGTTTATTCCCTGTAGCAGGTTTGTCAATCGCTTGTAGGACTCCATTGCTTGCGTTATTTCATCTCCAATTATTTGTAGTCTGAACCTCTAAGCGGCTTTAGGCGCTAGTTGTTCACTTTTTTCCACAATTGTCTGCATATCAATTTTAATTTGAGTCCCAGCGAGAGGTGGAATGATAAGTCTATTTTTTATATGATTTTTCAATTCGTGCTGGTTGTAACCAACAAGGAAATCTTTTCTGCGATTAATCCTGAATTATTTTGTATTTATGTTATCGACCACTGTAGCTGTTCTGGTACCTCCAAGTGTGCCCTGCAATACATGAAGCTGTTGGCTATACATTGCGCACTCTGGATCCTGCCTACAGGTCCGCGCGCGCTTTAGTCTCTGTGGTAAATACTTGTCCTAACACTATTTATACTCCATCGATAGCTATTTATTTAAGTGTATTACCGTATAAACCTTACCCTTTCTCTTATATTTCCACTTTATTCGGTCAGCGTTGAGCTGCGGGTGTGGCTCGCTCCTTACATATAAAGTACACAATAATAAACATATTTTTTAATTATCTTGCTTTCCTTTTTGTACAAATATTATTGCCTATGTGTTATTTTTATTCATGTAAGTACTTTTTGTGTGTTTTAAAATTTTCCATCGCAATTTTTTTTTTTTTTTTTGTCATTTTCACATTGGCTTAACGTGCGCGTATAAGTCGGTTTTTGAATATGTAAATAGTCAGTTATAATATTGTGCGCCCCATCTTGCCTTCGCAGTCATATAACATATTCGAGGAGACTGTGTAGTCAGATAGTCCGACGATCGGTTATCTTCCGTTTGGCTTATATTTTGGTAGTGACGAACTTGAAGATATGAACAAAAAAAAGAATCATTTTACGGCGGTGCATTTCGCATTTTGCGTTTAGACCTGTGTCATACATTTTTCTAGTGTTTTTCATCCTTAAATTTTCTGATACTATGTTTTTCTGCTACTCCCCCTCTCTCTTCTCTAACATAATGAAGTTTAAGATAGGGATCTTATGGATATTTCTTGTTTGCTTTTACTCTCAACGATGTAGACGCGTTTGCTGAATTCGTTTCTTGCTTTTTCGCTGTTTTTCCCCTTAATAACAAAACTTCTATTTTTTTCTCTTTTTTTTCTTTTGGTGTCTGGAGAAAGTGCGCTTACTAAGGTATTCTGGCTGTTGTCTGAGTTTCCGAAGCTAAACTTCGATGCTGCTCATGTGACAACATGATTTCTCGCACCAGGAGAATCTCCGTGTGCTGTCCTCATAGACGCAATTTTGCAGGAGCAGCCCGCGTGCACTGTTGCACAATGTTGTTGTGTAAGTAGTTGCTTATGTGACTACAAGCTCCCCTGCTTTTTTCATTTAAGGGGATGGGGTGTTGTAGATCTCTATGCCTTCTTTCCATTACTGACGCCACTGTTTGAACGAGGGTGGGCTGGTAACGTGGTATTGTTGTCCCGAAAGTGTTCCAGGATCCCATGAGAGCTCTCCGGCTGTCCTTCGACGGCCAAGTAATAAGGAAACACTGCCACTCACTGGGTGGGGTCGATTGTTTTTTTCGATAGTTGACCGGTAATCCCTGTGCATTATCATTAATTGTCCTGATTTGAACAATTAAGTACGGGTCCATGTAGTTTTTGAAAAATTATGCTTAATTTGAGTTGGACGATTCGACGAACGGGCTGTTCGTTGTCCTGGACATGGCACTCGATTCTGTATCTCGTGACGATTATGTGTATCGTTTCAGGTGTTGCGGTTGTCAGCATATCATGATAGCAAGAGTGGGATTGTTTCTGATGGAGCACAACAGCACGGAAGGAGAAAAGAAGGTTTAAACCCTTATACTCGACGTGGGCTCGTAGGCCTCTTGAAAAATAAATTTATTTTTCCTGTGATTGCTTTATTTGTTTTTCATCATTCCCCCATGCTCCTCTCTACCTAACAATAATTGCTTAAATGATTTTTTCTTAAACAATAATGAAGTTAATGGGGTACTAAAAAAAATTGTTGTTCGTTCATACTCTTTTTCTTTTGCTTATTTCACATTAACTTTTCTTTGTGTACTTCTCGCATAAACTTAATTAAATTTACAAGTATATCTCAACCTATGCGTGTATTTTTTTTTTCATTTGTCTTCATCATCTATAATTTGAATATTTGGCCTGTGAGTTAATTCTACACTTATTGAGTCCGTCTCCCACTAGAGAGTGCCACACGCGCCCCTCAGTCGCTTTGTTTTTTTATTATTATTTTTTTTTATTCACGTTATGTAAATTCTACTATCGATTGATGTTTTTGATGCTTTGTTCATGTGTACCTCCCCATTTTTTTTTTTTTTTTTTTTTTTGAACTTGCGTATCTGAGTCTAACNGGAGTATGTCTTCTCATTAGAGAGTGCCACAAGCGCCCCTCATTCGTTTTGTAATTTTTTTCAATCAATGTTATGCAAATTCTACTATTGATTGATGTTATTAATGGTTTGTTCATGCGTACCTCCCCAATATACTTTTTTCTTTTGAACTTGCGTATCTGAGTCTAACATATGTATATCTAGTTTGCGGCGCGTTTGGAGGCCGCGAAAATTTTAAGCTAAGCCGAATGTTAAGGAGGTTTCTTCGTGTCCTTCACCCTGTTGCATTCTCTGGCGGTGCCTTTGCCATACATGCTTTTTTTTTATTTGATCTGTATGGGATACTCTTACTTCGTCGCCTCTCTGTAGTTTTACATGTTTGTTGACATAATCAATACTGGTTATTTCATACGGGCCCTCGTATTGTGAATCGTATTTACTTTTCAATGGCTTTTTCAACACATAAACCATTTCTCCCTTCAAGAAATATCTTGAATTCAGTTTGTGGTCGTAGAAATACTTTCATCGGTATTTTGCCTGAACTTGGTTCATTGCTGCGATGGTTCTCATTTCTCTCAGAGTCTCAACCAACTCTTCTAAATATTCGTTTAAAGTTTGGCTCTTGGGTGGCAGTTTTATGCTAGAAGGTGTTCTGGCTCTTTGTCCGAATACTAGTTCGTGCGGTGAGTATCCCGTACTCTGATGGTCCGTGGTGTTATATGAGTGCATGCACATCGGTAAATGTTCGTCCCAGTGATCATTTTTCTCTACGTAGGCTTTGATGTACTCCGTGAGAGTATGGTGCATACGTTTGATGGCGCTGTTTGTTTGTGGGTGGGATGTTGTACTGCCCATTTTGTCTATTTTAATAAACCTTGCAAGTTCGTCCATGCTTTTGTTCATAAAATAAGTGCCTTGGTCCCATAATAAATGTTCCGGTGGCCCGAAGTACGATATAAATTTGTCTGTAATCGTTCTTACTGTTTTTTCGGCTGTTACTCTTTTCACAGGTGTCAGGACGATAATTTTCGTTTGCCAGTCTTGCATTGATAGTATGTGTGTACTGATTTGCCGATGGTTTACTGATGGGCCCGTAGACATCTATAGAAATTTTTTCGAACCGTCTACTTGGTATGTCGGTAATGAGCATGGCTTGCTTTGTTTTAATTCGGGTGAATTTTTTCGTTTGGCATGATGTGCATCCCAAGATGACTTGTCTCACACTTGGGCGCATATTTCTCAAGTAGTAGTGTTTAGCGATCCTGTTCTATGTCTTGTTCATTTTTCTATGTCCACTCATTGCTGCTTCGTGGTATTCTTTGATGATTTTAAGTCTTTGATCTGCTGGTGGGATTACCAGAGTGTTCGTGTAGAATACTGTTGCTAGTCTAATATCTTTGAACATTTTCTCGAAGGTATCGATAAAGTACCCCCACTGGATTAGATTAAAGATCCCTAGGTTTCTAACGATCCCAATTGTTTTTATTTTATGTGTTACTATTATATAACCTTATTATATTATTATATACCTTAATACACTTTTCAATAGTAGATTTATGGACCGTTTCTTCAAAATGCTCCTTTACATACATGTGAATGATTTTTACTCTTCTTGTCTCTGTCATTTTAGCTTCTCCTACAGTTCTCTCTTCGTTGTTCTTGCACGTTGGGTTATTGTATCCTCTTTTGTGTAGCGTCTCTATGACCTCTGTGGTGGGTACTGCTTCTGTTATTGTCATAAACGCCAGATTGTCTAAGTACCTAAATGGGTGGCCCTCGATCTTGTTCAGTTTTTGTAGTAGGGGTGGATGATTTCCTTCTCCTGGTGCCCATGGTGAAATATTAGTTGGTAACCGCTTCCTACATCTTACTAAAATATAAAGCAAAGTCGCTAAAACCGTTGTAATCGCTAACCGCGAAAACTACTGAACCGATTTTGCTGAAATTTTGCACACTGATTCATGATACTTCCTAGATGGTTTTAGTATAGTTTTTATCTTAAAAAATTTAATAACAATAGCAATAAATGAGCTCAATGTTTTGCAAAAATACGCCAGCTGTTCACTCTAGTTCAGTAAAATCCGCTAGGTGGCGTTGACATAAAATCGAAGCCACCTGCAACATAATTAAATAAGTGTGGTTATAATAGGCCGGAGCGTCTCAATAGTAACGTAGTCAAGCTTCGGCAGTTCAACGAGCTGTATAGAGAATGCTGATGATAGTCTTGCAGCTGGGTATCCCGGTTACGGACGACACTCTTCTCTAAAGGGGAAGAGACCTAGGTGACCATTTACCCTGAATCTCGATGAGTGTGGTCAAAAAAAAAAATTAATTCCAACCGATGCCGTCTCTGCCACAATATCAGGAGACATATCTAGCCAGAGCACAATCTGCACCAACTCTTCAGAGTTGTGTGGCAGTCCCACCATCCCAACTGGTGCAGTTAGAGAATTTGTGGCTACAAATGTAAGCAAGGGAAAACAGCTCTGAGGGGCACGGGCAGCCACAACGGCTACCTTCTTGGTCGTTGCGTCCCCAACGCGCTTACCCACATGTTCCCGTCTAACGATGAGCGGTTGGTTATCTGGGGAACGACCCGAGACGAGATATTCTTTGGTCAGTGGCGTACCTTCCTCCATCACAGTCTCCGTACATCGAGACTCCCAGGGTAAGAATTAAGCAACCCGTAGCCAGCTCTTCATTGTCAGGAACAATAATAAAGAATAGCCTGGAAGTTTCACCACTGGCGCTTTTTAGGGCCATTATAAGTATTAATGTTCCCTACTTAACCATTAAATTCATCGGTTCTTTTTAGGATCCACCTAAGTGTAAACTACCTTGCCAACAAATACATTTTTAATACCATTTCCGGAAGCGATTCGTCGACTAAAAGACTATATTAACTAAAGACGGGCACTATTAAACCAAGTCAGCCATTCACTAGCAGACGTCACCTGCGGAGTTGTTCTTCCCAAGGCTGGAAAACCCGGTGACCGACGACCCTATACTACCCTCTCGACTCTAAGCATTCAACCAGGAATCACTGATCCTCTCCAAGGTCTGCGTTGGACAAACCTATAACAGCTATGAAGGAAAAAAAACTTGAGCTAACGGGACAGCCTCCACTGGACAAGTATCCTTAACCAATCTCCCCATCTAAGATCACCAAAACAACTGAATCTGCAAATAAAAATGGTGCTTTAGACACCAACGTCTTCGACGTTATACCGGGAGACGTTGGGAAAAAGCACAACAACTAGCCCCAAAGCTTCCGACATTGTAATTTTTCTCCCAATCAGTTTGGGTCTTCAACAGCAAGCCAGAGAAGATCACCCTGAGGTATCCAGGCAGTCGCAATTGCTGTTAACTGCAGTCAAGAAAGAGTTAACTTAAGAAGCTCATCGGTCTTTTTTAGGGCCATCGGACGTCGAACTACCTTGCCAACAAATATATTAGAACCTAACAAAGTTGACAGAAAACAGCTTTTAGGGGTTACAAAAATTTTAAGCATGCCAAAAGTCGCAAGAGGGTGAATTGGAAGAAAAACTTCAAGTGTATCTAATAAATACAATTTTACTTAGGCGTCAAGAAACTGACGCAGAAAATGTATCGAGATTGAAGCAGCAGCGTCAAAATCGACAACTAAAGATTTCATTACGTGAGAGATCAGCTTTTCATTGTACCCTCACAGCAATCTCTGAAATCTTTAAAGATCCTACTTCACATTTTTAATGAGTAGAAATTGTATTTGTGTTTTTGTGGCAATAAAAATGTAGGGTTTAAGGTCCAGGACTTTGTTGCTCTGGTAATAAAGTTGTGAGATATGAGAAAAAAATTTTTTTTTAACATAAATTTTTTGGGGGTTTAAAATCTTAACAGCTTTAAAAAATAGCCGTTTTCGTGAATTACACGGGAGAAACTGTAAATCAACGGCTTCTTATGGCCACCGATTATTTTATGGCATAAAGAACGCACGGTACTTTTCAGCATAATTATTTTTTTTAATTTTCACACCTTATTATTTGACCAAATAAACTATATGGATTCCGAAAAAATATGTTTTTAATAAGAAGATTTTTGTTCTGAAATGTATCAGGAATATGTGTAAAATTTCTAACTGAAAATGTTTCACATTACATGTTAACACACTACGGTGTTTTATTTAGTAAGTCTCGGGCGAAGCCGAGACGGGGGGCTGCTAGTACTCTACACTTTTCCATCGATGGTGGGTGAGAGACCGTCTTATTCCCTAATCTTTCGTTTTCGCTGTCCGTTTCCCGAAGCGCTTTGTTCATATCATCGGCCTCCTCCTCGTCCTGTACTTCGATGTAGTCAAAGCCATCTTTTTCCTCTGTCGCACGTTGCATGTATTCCTCCGTTCATATATTAATGTGCTCGTCTGGACTTGTTTCTTCCTCACTTGGTTCCCGCTCCGCACCTATTTGCTTCTTGACATTTTAGCCCCGTTTTCCCTGGTGTATCCTT